TTTCACGTAAAACCTCTGCATGCATGCGTGAATGGAGGTGCTAGCAGGGTGATCCGATTAAATGGAGCGTTTTTCACCTCTTAATGGGTAATGATCATGAGCGTCGAGCGTCTGCACAGGGGCCCTCTGCAGTGCGTCGGCAATCGCAGCCACTATAATTCTACCAGTCGTTTTGTTATGAAATTTCAAAATTTCGAATTTTTCTGTAAAAAATTACATGTCATAGCTAGAAGGAAACCTTTGTGACCATCGGATTCCTCGCACCATTGCGCGTCGAATGATATGTAAAACGAGTGAGTAAAGACTGGGGAAAGGCAAGTTTTGACACAAAAGTTGATTTTGCCCCCCCAACCGACAATCTCTGGCGACGCCTATGGACAGCTACCATAAAAATTGGTGTCCCTGTGAATGTTACGAGCCTTGGTTATATACGGCCTATACGGCCCACTATATATGGCCTTGGTTACGAGCAGGGGACCTCTTATACGGCCTTGCAGGGGACAGACTGCCGCCAGACCTCTAATCACTTAGCTTGCTTTGATTATGTTTTCGGGAATGCTGGCGTCTCACACATGTAGGTATTTAGGAACAAAGTCTTACCTAATACATTTGATTTGCGTCTGAATCACTCTGTGTTGTGATTCAGACGACTGATGACTGATGTCATCACTATCAACCGTGGAAGCCGTATGGCTACCCATCTACGCTGGAGTACGAAAAACATCATATCACGTCTGAATCACTCGTGAAGATAGGTAGGGGAGAGTGGGGAAATATGCCCAGGGTTTTACTATGTCATATATCATTCGAAAATGACGATCAGAATTCAGAAAGCAAAAACTTGGAATTTCAACAGAAGCCGACATCATTTTTCTCCAAAAATATCACACTTTCGTGCCTGAAATATGATAACTTTTTTTTGCTATTAAAGGAAAAGTGCCACCTTCTTGAAATATGAAGATATCGTTGGTTTTTATTTTGACATTATTATTTTCCATTTTCTTTTCAAAACCGGTGCCAGAAGTGCATAATTCGCTAAAAAGTATTTCAAACTATTTAACATATTGGTACTATGTTTATACTCTCTACCGCAGCTACTGTATGATGTCATAGCAATGACGTCACACTCAAGCCAATCAGCCTTGAGGAGGATAGACTCGTCGGACTGTAGCGGTTGTAAACAACTTGTCGCCCCGTGTGTTTGCCCGTGGCGCTAGTTATCTGTCGAAGGTAAGGGTGAAAGATGGACATAATGGCCATGGAACGCTATTTTAGGATTATTGGTGAATAGCAAGAATATAGTTTTGGTGGTTTGAAATTGTTTGTCCTCAGTGATTGGCTTGATTCTCATTTTGCGGCATAAGCGGCTGTTTGGTTACATTACATTTTTTATGATTGTGTAATTATTATGATTATGTTCCTCCAAAGTAGGCATCACATATCAATCTCAAAGGCAGATCATCTTCTTTTCATGCCTATAATTTTCTTCAAGAATATTAATAAAAAATATTCCATTTACCCCTGCCTATCATATATCCCATGGAGCTGCCGGTGGAAGTAGGCATGCAATGTGACCTAGCATTGGCGATGTGGTTAATTAGCTTTAAAGTACTATGGAATGCTAAAGGTCATCATTTAGAATGGTTTTCAAAACATTCCACTAGGAAATATTCATTGAAACCTGAAAATTACTTACAAAATGTAAATGTATAGCCACGTCTCAAGAGCATTCAGCCGTCTTCTCAGTAAATATATAATGAAACATAATCTTACCTGACCTAGCCTTACCTACAACCTACAACGTACGGCATTGGTAAAGCTGGCATCACTGTCAGCGTATATTAGTTTGGTAGGTTGTGGGTAGGTAGGTTGCAGGTCAGTAGGTAAGGTTAGGTTAGGTTAGATTGTTTTTAAGATTCCTTTTATCTACACATTTACCGGTTAGCGCTGACGGTGACACCAGCTTTACTGATACCCAACCTACCACCTACAACCTACAACCTAAAACCTACATTCAATGGTGGCGGGTGGTGATAATTGTTATACCTATATAATAATACTGGAGATAAATACCATACAGATTAGCTGGTATCCATGACACACTTTCTTAAGAAGAAGGTCTTCTATTAAATCATGTCTATTTTATAGGAATGAAATGATTTTTGTTGTAGTCACATTCCCTACTCTGACCATCATGTCTGATTATTTCCAGTTACCACTGACAATGCCCAAAACAAGAACAACAAAGGCCCAAAGGTGGCTGTTTGGTAGTGCGCAAAGCTGCTGGTAAGTGGCATCAAAGGATAGGATGTTGTTGTTGTTATGGGTTAGGGCGCGTAGCAACTTGGCTCTTGCGTCCAACATCAAAGGATAGGATGTGCTTTGTTATTTCCAGGCACGTAGCCAGGATTTTGCTCAGGGGGGGGGGGTCACAGGTTGTGGCCTAGTGTTGTACCCCCTCCAAAAAAGGAAAATTTCTCTGATTAGGCCCACTATTTTGGGGGTGTGTCACAGCTGTTTTTATTTAAAAAAAAATCGCCATCACCGAGGGGGGAAGGGGCACGAGGGCATGGCTCCCGTGCCCCTCCCCCCCTCCTTGGTTACGTCCTTGGTTATTTCTGAGAGTTTGGATATCACAAAGCTTTAGATATAAATTAGAATGTAATAAGAAGCTTTCAGCATTGCACCTTTCCAGACACTGATAATTCATTTGCCTTTATTGTTTCAAAAGTCAATTTTCAACACAAAAAAAGTTGAAATTATTAGCTCAAATAATTGCAAATATATACTTTGGTAATTTGCCTTTCGCATCACTATCAACAAAATAATCAAGGGTGACTAAATATGAAATGTTCCTGCATGATCTTCATCGTGAACAATTGTCAAGGTATGATGTTTGCGTGTTGAAATGTTATAAAGAACTTATGTCATAAAAACACAACTTGTAAAATTGTGTCTTTCCATATTATTCTGCAAGTAAGCCTTGGAAGGAAGAGACACTATTCCGTCCTACAGAAGCCATTTAGAAATGTGTGACATGTTCAGCACTTTGAGTCAGTCGGTGCCCGGACCTCAGTCGGCTGTATGACCGTCTCCTCGTCCTCTTTTGTCCGCTCCGCCCCGTGCTGTTCTATAAGGGTGTCTGACCCGCTGCCGCTATCCCCACTGTGAGGTCTGACCCGCCGCGCGCTGTCACCACTGTCGGCCCTCTGTGTGCGCGGCAGGTGGTGGTGGACGTCTCTGCCCTGACGCGCGGCGTGCGTCTGCTCAGTGTGGAGGTGCCGCTGACAGCGGTGCCGGCCGGACCGGCTGCCTCTCCGGCGGCCGACATTGAGCGCGGCACGTGTCCGCCGCCGTTCGGGCCGCTGCAGCTGCTGCAGTCGGCGGCGCAGCTGTCCGTCTTCGTGTCGCTGGCCGTGCCGCTGGACCTGCTGCCGCGGCCGGCGCCGGCGCGCTGCGCCTACGGCCGCCTGCTGGCCGTCGTCTCGCAGCGCGGCCTGCAGCGCAGCGGCGTGCTGCAGCTCATCCAGCAGCTCAACGAGCCGCCCAGCCCGGCGGCGGCCGAGGGCGCCGCGCCGCGCCGGCCCGGCGACGTCAGCACACCTGGCATCAGCGGCTTCTGCCTGGCCGACCGTCAGCTGCACCTGCTGTTCGCCGAGGGGCGCGCCGACGCCGAGCTGGAACAGACGGCGGCCGCGCCGCGCGCTCTGCCGCGCCGCGACGCTCGACTGCCACCACTCGAGCCTACTGTTTAGGGAGCGCCTGTACCCGCGCCAGCCGGCCGCGTTCCGCGTGCTCGAGGACCGCCCGCTACGCGCCCAGCTGCTCGACACCCGCCTCTACACGTTACAGAAACAGGAGCCGGCGCGCGCCGTCCGCGCCATCAGAGAGTGCTTCCGCACGCAGTGGCTGTCGGAAAATGAACCTGCTTCCCAACGAGGCCGGCCTGCAACAACTGCTGGCCGGCTGTTGGCCGAAAAAAAAAACACCTTCAACCGGATGTCAGTTGTCAAATCAACGCGTATTAATGCATTCACTAGGATGGGCTTACGTAAAGCTGTAGAATTGCAAATATATAATGGCACTGTTTTTGATCCGTTCGGTATGCATTGGTATCATATGATCTCTCATTCACAGACGATCAGCTGCGAAGACCCAGATCCGTAGTAGAGGGCTCATCGAGTCCGGGTCCAGCTCCCCGTACTTCCTCCACTTTGGAAACACCGCAGCGCAGATCACAGTTATACATAATATTTAGTTTTCATTCACTTCATAACCGAAGGTTGTTTGATAGGTGATATGCTGCTTGAGTTGCACCCCGGTATATCAATACGAAGCTTCCGTCCCTGCCACATACCAGTGAAGGAGGCGGCGGCGGCGGCGGCGGCCGGGGCCGGGCTGCCCTGCCCACCGACACAGTCTGTGAAATGCCCCAACAACCTTTAAAATTCAACAGGCTTCATAAATGTTTTTTTGCACCATATTTTCTCGCGTATATGAAAGCTCTAAAATGTACAATATTCCTTTCAGCCACAAGCGATATAAAAGCTCTACAAAACGTCATGTCTCTGTGTGCAAGAAAGACACATATATGTATTGTGTATAATCGAGCGTACATGATCTGCAGCGCTGCGGAGGGCTGCTCGGTTGCCGCTTTTTACCAGTCGGCTCTAGGTCGGACATATGGGTAAACAAAATGGAATAGTAATATTAAACAATGCTACCTGCTGATGCTACTGGGCCTCTCATTGGTGAAGAACTGGCAGCCAGCCAGCGTGTTTTTGTGAGAACTGTTTTAACAGCAGCAACCGAACGGCTCTCGGGCCAGCGACCAGTGAGCGTAGACAGCACAGCGCTCCGTTAGGCATCGGCGGGCAAGCACGCATTAGCTGTGGACGGACCGGCCGCCCGAACATATTTGTCGGTATCGAAAGTATCGTGAACCAAATGACTGCTAGCGAAAAAAGGACTGCCTCTCGTATCCATGAAAACATGTGTTCTACAAAAGTACATAATTGCTTAGTTGTCGCCAGTCACTCATTGCACCATGGCGTCAGTGTGGGGCCGCGCCCCGAATCATCTCAATCGCCAGGCAAAGCATCTCAATCGACAGGCACATGGTAGTCCAGCTACGAATCCGAGCCGCGGCATCCCGTCTATGTATCTACATTACACCACAATCGAACACTGTCGGGCCACCCGAGACAGCAGTCTCCAATGTAACATCAAAACCCGCCACTCGTCTAATATCAGAAAAATGAGCATTGAGTACCTACCGAATATCGACTACAGAAGATTACAATGGGGTGCAGATCTAGCAAGAGTGTCGCGGTTCGTCTCGGCACGGCTTACAGGCCGCCGAGCCCGCGCAGGTGACCGCCAGCTCCACCTGTTCCACCTCCGGCGCGGAAGCTCGATCACAAGACTGACCTCAGTCGGCGCTCTGTGCTCGGCACAGGGCGACCGGGTCAGGAGCGGGCCGCTGCCGCCAGGGCCGCGGCCACCAGCCACGCGGCAGCGCCCGCGCACCGGCCGCCAGCCACCACCCGCTCAGCCCAGATGCGCGCCACGGCGTCATTGGGGCTTCCCTGAGCAGGATCGAACCAGAGCTGCATGCACGGCTCCGTATCCGCCGTGAACTTCCACGAGTGATCCCACACCTGAAAAAGGCGCACGGTTTGCGTCACAGCTCGGCTCACTTTCACAGTCCACGCACCGGCAGCAATTAAGGGCTACTTAGATAGTGTGCTAATAAAGCGCAATCACTTAGCTTAATCCATATAGTCAACCATGAATTGTTAATTACGAGCGAGCGAGCGAAGCGAAGTCTTTTCAATATCACGGAAAAAGCTCAGTATGAGCGGCCCGACCCGGCCCGGCCTGTAACGCTTTTGAGAGGCTTATATCTCAGCAACCGCTGGACCGATTGGCCTGCGGTCTTTTTTTTTTGTTGGCTAGCCCTATTCCCTCTGCCCCGTAATTGACTACTCTTGATACATTACAGGGACCGTCGTGGCACGTGCCACGTGAAAAGTCAAGGGCGTTATTTGTCAAAAGTTGCAAAAGAAGTGATTTTGAGAGGCTCATCTCAGCAGCCGCTTGGGCGGTCTTGCGGTAAATTTTGTAGGGTAGCTGCACCCCTTCAACCAAAGGTCGGATGCTCTTGATCTATGTGAGTGACCCCCACTGCACGTGCAAAATGCAAAAAGAAGAGGTGCCGAATTTGTTCCCATTTCAATAACTCTGTAATTACTGGGGCGATTTAGCTGAAACTTGGCATACAGGTAGGCAGTAGGCACCCACCAGGCAATGCATTCCCATATGTTGCGGTTAGGGTGCTACTGCTTAGTGTATTATGTGTAAAATAAAGGACGCTTGAATCTTACCTGAGTGATGTCCATTTCTTGATCACTTTCATCTGTGGGTGACCGAGCAGCGACAGCAACCCAAGGCGTATACGGAATCTGTAAAAAATCAGCACACCGTTACCACATGTTTTAATAAAACTTACCTATAGGGAGGTAGCATAAAATACAGATCAAAACAATAACATACAAACATACAGATATTCGGTTAGGTTGAAATGGCTAAAAAATATAAAAAATAAGGGCAAGGTACTAGGGCTGTAAAGCTGTAAGGGCTCGGCACTAGTAATAATTTTTGGTTAAAAATATCACAAATAAAGACTCTGCACTAAAGCTGTAATGTCTGGTACTAGGAATAACTTTAGAGTGAAGTGTTACAAAAACAATATTCAAAGTCTTTTGATAACTTTGCAGGCATTTTCATCACTTTTAAAAAATAACTTACATTCTGATCCGGCACAGCACTGTTCTTTAGACGCAAACGTTTTTGACTGTGCTTATCATGGTGCGCACTTCTTGTTAAGTTTAAGTGGTCATGTGGTCTTGGCTCATTGGTCATGCCACACACCCTCATCCACTTTTCTCTGTACTTCTTTTTTTAGCGGAAACCTAAAAGTAAAAAAGGGTCAACACATGCTTAGTCCATGCAACACATACTCTGTGTATTAAGCTGAATAGCTCCACTGAGCCCAGTTTCACCAAGTGCGGTAAACTTAATTTTGGGGTAGTTTTTGTAGTTAAGTAGTGGGGTAGTTTGGTAGTTTACCCCAAATTGAGTTTACCGCACTTGGTGAAACTGGGCTCTGGTGAGTTTCCTTTTGTTGTCAGCACATAAGTGAAAGAAAACTGTGTAGACAAGAGATGAACCAAACCCCCATGGAAAGGTAGGTGTTACCACAACCAGGAAATGGGATTTGAAGGGCTGGATAAATGTGTCTGAGTTCTGCCTTTCAGCCAGACTGGAAAACATCCATACACTACGCCGGATGCCCGTGAGCCCCTCATGCGCCAAAATTTGAAGCAAGCAATTTTGAGCTGAAATTCCAGTGCATGATTTCCACTGAAAGTTGGGTGCCTGTTTGCACCAAAATTAAGCCACTTTTACATAAAGCACATGTGCATATCTACCGACCAAGGCTATATCAACCAGACAGATCGTTCCGGGGCCTCGGAGTCAGACGCTCTTCCCTTTCTGAGCGTCTGAATTAGTTAATGTTCCCATGAAAACCCAATACCACAATTTGTGTGGCACACTGTGACTGTAGAATCTTAAGGTGAAACAAGGCCCAGGCCGGAAGTTCCGACTCTCTTCAGACCTGCCAGCGCCCGCAGGGCAAGTCTGCTGCTAGATTGACCACAGCGTGTCAAAAAATTCGGTGACAGCCATTTGCATAAACATAATGCGCCATGCGGTCACCCTGCACCTAAAAATTCAGCTGCCACCATGCGCTGAATTTGACGCATGCAAAATTATGCTGGATGTGCGATGAAATTTTCGGGGCAACGCCGCAATCACGCCACTTCGCATGACATATTCGGCATAACTTGCGTTTTTTTATCCAGTCTGGCATTTCAGTTGTGAAAGCCTGAACAGTTCAAAAGGGTTTGCTAATCCAGGGGAGAGTTCTGTGAAAACAAAAGTAATAGAAGAGCCATTGCAATAAATAAGAATTTAGGTACCTACCTAGGTACCTAGGTACTTACTTGTGCACAGTCACACGCATATCAGTCCCGACCCGACGTAGGTCGTTTGCTCCGCGGATCACGCACTTCTTCATCGTTATTATAGGTATTTGTTCGAACAAAAATGCCCTGATTTCGGATCAGAGCCACGGTATAAAATATGGTATACTGCCTTGCGTAAGATAAAAATGCATTTTAGCAATTGGCTACCAAACGAGATGTCATCTGTTCAGGGCATAGCATAGGTTTACTTTCATAGACCTCATGAAAGTAGCTCATGAAACTCATCACCAATCAGCGCGACGGATTTCAAGATTCGATTGCGGATGTTCATCCGCCGGCCGATTGCCAGAACAGACAACGAAAAATAACGCAACTGCTCGTGGTCTGCTCGCTAGTACAGGGATCCGTGCCTGATCAGTACTGCTGCAAGCTGATTGGTTAAAAACCAAAGCCTCGCCGCGGGTGGCTGTATTGTCGGATAAGAACGCATTCCTGGGATAAGAACGCATTCCTGGCATATTTTCTTTTAAAATTGCCGATAACTACGAATGGAGGCCGAAATCGGCCGTAAGGAGGTAAACAGAGAGGTTTTCGGACACGGGCTACAAGATGGCTATCTCAGTTTCAATCCCCATGTTAAAGGTGGCCCTTTGAAGTGAAAGGGGGCATCTTACCCCACAGGGTGGGAAAGACGCCCCCTGGCGTTGGGGAAGATGCCCGGCCCCCCTGCACTATAAGTGACATAAATGGGCACGTGAATCGCCTGAACGAATCAGTAGTCCCTTCGGGCCTGCAATAGACACCAAACGTCATCGTAACCCGCGCCCTGGTGGGGGGGGGGCTATTTTTTGCCCCCCCCCCCCTCCAGACTTTTCGATATATCTCCAGAACCGCTGCGCCGATCGTCACCAAACTTTCAGTACCCTCCCGGACATCAATTTTACACATTGTGACCAAAAATTTTTCCAAAGGCTATGATAGGTTGGCCGGAAATGACGTCAGAGTGACGTCATGTTCTGCCGTTTTCGACCCAAAAAAGGGTTTCGCGGGAAGAGCTGTCAGGCCTATAGCTTTGCAAATACAGAAAAATGATAAAACATAAAAGCTGTAGATTGGACAGGGCTACAAAACTGCTATCTCGGATTTTTGAAATTTTTGGATTTTGACCCCCAAAAATCAAAAAATAGATTTTTTGGATATACTAATCGAAAAATCCAAAAAGTTTTTTGAATTTCGCAAAAACCGGAATATATGTGATAGTCCTTACCGCCTTCCATCCACATACCAAATTTGAGATTGATACCTCCTTTTTTGGCGAAGTTATAGCGAAAAAACTGTTCAAAATTGATGACGTCAAATTTTCAAACTCAATTTTTAGCAATTATAGACCCCGTAGCGCAAAACAAAGACCACCATTAGACTCCCCGTGACGAGCTGCATTGAATCAATACCCAATTTATGCAAAAATATCAACTTTAAAATTTGACCTTTTTTGGCCTGACCTTGACCTGACCTTGACCTGAACTTCACCAGAAAGTGACCTAAGCCGTACCTGATAGTCTTATAACCAACACCATTGAGTTGGAAATGAAAAATTGGCCATAAAACATGTATCACACAACCTTAGTAAAGTTGGGCTCATGTGACCTGACCTGTGACCCTTGGTGACCTGACCCGTGACCTGACCTGGTACTGCTAGTGACCTCTAATAGCAACATATCTACTAGGCAACTGACGCCCTACAGCTGATTCTCGACAAAATGCGTTTTCCTCGGTGTTATAGCGCATTCCCTAGAAGACCCGTGAACGGTGAAACATTTCATCTTTGACCTGACCTGTGACGTCATCGGTGACCCCGAGGTCAATGAAATTTGGTTTCCTTCGACAAATTTGACAGGCCTTTCGAACGCCGTTTGAATTTTGCGGATCCGTCCAGTAGTTTCGGAGATACGAGGGGGGGGGGGGGCAAAAAATAGCCCCCCCCCCACCAGGTCGCGTTATAAACAGACCCCACCAGGGCGCGGGGTAAGGGCCCTCAGAAGTAGTCGTAAGGGGCTTCAGAGGTCATCGTTAGAGCCATCATAGTCCAGCGCGGCCAAACAAGCCTCCGTGGTGGCGTTCGGAGACCACTGTGGGGCCCTTATAGGTCTTCATGATGCTTGAGGACCCTCAAGCCCATCGTGGGGACCTCAGATGCCAGCGCGGCCCGTGGAGCCAACGTTGGAGCCCTCAAAGAATGTCGTGAGGGGCCCTGGAGCCAATAATGGGGCCCACAGAGACCGTCGTGAGGGCTCTCAGAGTCAGATGCCGCCCAAAAAGTCGCTGTGTGGGCCGAGAGACCGCCATGGGGAGCACCCGACCGTACTGGACTCTCAATAGTCCCAGATCGGCTTTTGTCTCTCATCACAAGTATGTAATAAATGATTTGACGGGCTGCTTGAAGGACAGCCTACGGATTTAGGGGGCGTCTTTCCCCATCGGGACAGGGGGCATCTTACCCCAAGGTACCGAAGTAACATTAAATCACTACAATTTGTTAGCCATAAAACTACACCCTGAAACAAACTGTTTGGGACACAGTACACGCATGTTAATGTATCATGACTATAGCAAGGGGCATAACAATTATCTATATCCTTTGATATGTACAATGTTTTGACACCAAAATATTTTTTGAAAGCAGCAAATAAAACATGCAATCACCAGCCAGCCGTTGCCCAACTGAGCTTCGCAAATTTTTGTGCAGTTAACAAGGCAGGCTTCCGCTTTACGCTAAGAACGTTAATTTTCAGGTTCGATTCTTTGTTTCGCCGCTAGAGGGGGTGGGGCGTCTTTCCCACCCTGGGCATCTTACCCCACTCTCCCCTATACCTAATTACGTAGTAAAGAGCCAGTAGTCTACGAATATATTTAAAAAAAAAACAATTAAATGAATAAGCGGTTATTCGCTTATTCATTTCTAATAGTCATTTCTATTAGTTGCTTATTCATTTCTAATTGTTCTTTAGCCCTCGCCCGTATTGGTGTTTTTCCAGCCGCGAACGTAGGTATAAGGGGGGGGGGGGGGTCCGTTGGACCCTTCCCCTTGCCGTTTCGCCCCTGATCGAGCTAGAGCTTCGCGGAAAAAACGAGCGTGTTTTCCGTGACGAGAGGAAGCCGATGATACCCAATTTTAAGGTCCTAGGTCATTGGTTGACCTTCCAGGTCAGGTCAATGACCCAAAAGTCGGGAGAATCGGGACCTGTTAGAACTTTGTAAAGTGTGGCTGCTACGGTTTTTCGGGGTGCTGATCACGAATATCATGTTAGTTTTGATCACAGATGATAGCGCAGTCCATTCTAAGTCCTCCAATGCAAAGAAATTGGGTCTAGCTCAAAAACTGAGCTCTTGGGAGCGATTCCCGTGGTTCAATGTTTTGCGTCGAAATCGGCCGAACATGACGTCACTCTGACGTCATTTCCAGCCGACCTATGAAAGGTACAAAGTTCAAATTTTGACACAAGGTGTCAAATTGATGCAGCCGAAGGTACTGAAAGTTTGGCGGCGATAGCTCAAGCAGTTTAGAAGTTATTGCAGAAAACCGGGAAGGGGCTATGAATAGTCCCCCCCCCAATAGGGCGCGGTGCATCGATTGAGTTCAAGTTATTGCAGAAAGAACAATATTCTCAAAATATTTTTATTTGGACGGTTTTTGCGCATGATAGGCTAGCCCTACCCGAGGTTTACCTACCTACACGATAGGATTCGACTTAGGTCAAATATCGGAAAAATCGGAAAGTCTATCACGTCTTCTCCTGTTGTTACATACAACTTACACCGAAAATCAGTCCCAGCATAATTTGCAGTGGTAATGACACCAACCTACCTGAGTCGGACAAAAATGGCGATTGTTTTATACGGGCCTAAAACATACAGCCAGGTGGCAAAGGCGCAACCAGCAGCCTGGATGATTTGAAAGAGGCACAGATAATACACTGCAGATAATACACTACAATAGAGATGCGAATACACGATGGCAAACATGTAACACCGGGACATATGCTGTTCTGATATTTACTTCGACGAATACCTACAAGAAGTCATTGTGGTGTTATCTATCACACATTCGCCTCTTCGATAGCCCTTATCAGCGCGGCCGGGCGACTTCTGTCCGTCAGTATGTCCACACAGTCAAGCTCGTGTCGAATGACCTCTGACTTCTGTCCCGCTGAGTGGCGGTTCTCACGACCACAAAACGCACACGGCGCCCTCCCCATTCACGTGAGCGAGCTGACCCATTCACCGGGCTAGTTCCCGCCCGGGCCGGCAGATGGCAGGGCTGCGGCGGGTTATTGGCCTGTGGCGTCCGTCACCGGCTCGTTTCCCGTTCGCCGGATGGGAGCCAGCGAGCATAGGGAGAGGCCGCCCTGGTGTGGCGGGCAGAGCCGGGGGAGAGCGGCCGCACCGCGCCGCGCGCGAGCGAGCCGCCCGCCGCCCGACGCGTCTGCGCGGGGAGGGGAGTGTGGGGAGCGGCTCGGCGGCAGCTGCCGCCACGAGACGAGCCAGTCGCGTGCGATGGCCGCTCCGGAGGAGGAGTACGCGGTGGACGTGAGCTCGCGGCTGCCGCGCCGGGGCAGTCGCGGCGACCAGTCCGGTGATGGCTATTACGTGCAGCTTGACAAGGGCATTGACTCGGACCTGGAGGAGCTGGCGGCGCCCTCGGCCGGCTCGGACACTGCTCAGACGCCCAGTGTGGACAGCCTGGACACGGCCTCCAGCGACAACACAGAGGCGACCATGCGGCTCAACGAGGACGCTGTGCCGCCGCCGCCGCCGACCCCTCCGCCGCCGCGAGTGTCTCCCCCTCCGCCGCGACCGGCAACGCCGCCGAAACAGAGGCGGGGGTCGACCCCGCCACCGCCGCCGCCGCCGCCCCCGCCGACATCGCCGCCTGCCGCCCTGGCGCTGCCGCCACTGCCAGTCAAGTAAGGATTCCGTGGGGGACCGGTCACCTGTCCCTCTGGGAGTGGGGAGCGGGTCCTGTTCAGTGGGTTAGCTTGTGTTGTAACCTAGTTTACGGCATCTCTTGGCCTTGTTGTTGCAAGTAGGCCGAGCTGCTGAAAAAAAAGCATAGCCTTTTACACCACCGAAAACGTGTGAAGGTGAAGGCTTATGTTGCGTAGTGACTTACAAGCTACGTAATGTCTTATGAAATGCCCTATTTATTTAGGCTGATAACGAGGCAGAATCAGGTACGATTTTGACTTTTCTGACCACCGCGGATGGTTCGACATTGGAAGCAATCGCCTCTTATGCGGTTGGCCTGTTTGTGAACGAGACATTTCTGCGGTATATTTAATCACATTTTTATTCCCTAACCGTACCCAAGTTTCTCGACTCCTCGATTGTTTTATACGTTCACCAGGGTGGCTTCCGGTGAATCCTATTACCACAATCTCTTAGTTATAGGTAACACTTGTTACGTTCAAATAGAGATTAAATGCACTATTCACTAAATAGTGTAAAATTATATTTCCCCCGTTTTTATGACTATGACTTAGATGGGTTAACATTTGAATGCACACTCAACGGATTCGTTCCAACAGAATAAGAGGTCACATGGACTGAATAGTGTGACTTGGTAGCTGTCATCCAACCCTGCATTAGCACTAAAAAGCCCAACCTTTCCCAAGGTTCCACGATATACATAGGTACTCGATCGTAAATTTTGGGGAATAAATATGCATTGAAAGTTAACGCATTTGGGAGCCAGAGCTTAAAAATCTATTGCTGCGTTATAAAGCACGGCAGCTACACGATGCGCCAGCTGCAAAATATTTGATAACCATGAAAACTTCCCGACGGGCTGCCCTAAAGCTCCGCACTCAGATGTGAGTCGCCGAGCCCCGCAGCTATAACTTTTGCAGCTCAGATCAATAACCGCTGCAACCCATGCTCCAATAAAACACGTAGCAGCGTTATGAAGCGGCACTGGTCTACCAGTCAATACGGTCGACGTGTCGGTCTCAATGCAATAAATATCACGCTCTAAACTGCTCGCTCATAGTAGCCATGGGTGAACTCAATCAGCACGATCAAATAAAGCCCACATGACCCTATCTGGCGTAATAGGCCGCCGACCGAACGTGCCCTTGCAATGTTCCGTGTTGCAATATTGTTGCACCATTTGTTTCATTCGCTGTGACAGTGTGGCATTATGACGACGTGACAGTGGCAGCTGGTCACACAGTGTAGTCGACTGAGAGCCGTAAGCCGTTAGGGAGAGTTACTCTGACGGAAAACACCCTCGCTGATGGCTCGTAAATACCAGAAGGTAAACAGCCCGGCGAGAGAACTGTGCGCGCCCGATCAAGGACATAGATATACTGTTGGTGCTCGGTGCACGGGATCTGCATAGGCTGCTGCGTATACGCGTGAAGGACTGTAGGCGCGGAAGTCCCCTGCCGGCAGAGGTAGCTATTGTTCAATAATCGCTGCAGACTAGGGACTGGGCCGAGTTGATTTCCGCCGGTTGCGGCTCAACGCGAGGTGATCGGTTTCACGCACTTTGTTTAGGCTGGTGAAATCTCACTGGCACTGCACTACATGGCTATCGTGGTGGCTCGCCGAGCTTTCCACGACCGTGTCACATATATGACAGGCATAACGTGGCGAAAATACTCCGACCCCGTTGTAAGTACACCAATTGCAGCGCCACCTGGACTCCATTGTACGGCCGTCCTCTGTAATTCCATGGAGGATCGTGGAGTGTAATCCGGGCCTGGAGTGCAATCCGGAGTGATATGAAGAGACACTCGTATTGTGGCGGACGATCCGTCAGTCCCGATGTGATATAATACTAGCACAAGGTCGGCGTCGCGGGTGTGAGATAAGAATGCATTATGCATGAGGGCAGTGTGCGTCGGTAAACCGCTTGTGGTTCTACATAAATCCAGATAGGCGTTATAAATGGTCCTGTGTGGGGTAAGTTTTCTTCTCAAAATACCGGCCCAGTTCGGAGGAGAATGTCTTGTGGCCAGACGCGTGCCTACACATTTCCATGATACGTAATTTAATTTCAACATGTTGAATCGCATAATGAATATGCTCAGCTCAAATATGTTGAGGAAACTGATGTTTATTACTTAATCTGCCAAAAGCAGCGAAGGTAGGCTATGTAGAAAGATTAGATTACATAAGGTAGAAACATAAGTTAGAATAACTTTAGTCTGCAACTTTAACTTAGTTAACTTAGTTAACTGTAATCAATGACTGCACGTCTGGCGAGCTTTGGTCACCTTCCTATTCAGCAATCTCTCCGACATAGAGTTCCTCGGATGCCGACGATCCTGTCACCGATGACTGATGCTATTCCTGCTGACGTCAGAAATGCGTCATTAATGCCTCGCTCACCCTCGCTTGGCTGCACTTATTCTCATGTTGATGATTTTTTGCGCTTAGTCCAACGGGTTGATGTAGGTACGTCTAGATTTATGCTTGTAAGTGGCTGAGGCACGGCAATGTGTACAGTATTGTGCTTTGGATTTATATTCCTGATGGCGGATGACGCACTGTCTCTGTTATTTGAGAAGATTTCTTCTTGTTGAATAGCCAAAATGAAAGAGAATGAGGGCATGGTGATTTTGTTTACCCATATCATTATACCTATGTATATCTTAGGATATATGGAGTGTAGAGTGCTCATTTTTCTGGCTAGGTGTTCAGCTGTGTAGTGTTTAGCCCTCAATTTTTGTATCTGTCTTTGATATCTCCAACGAATGCTATTTTTGTACGTCTTTCTTTTGCTTGGCGTTCCTGGAATTGCTGCCTTTAGCAAAACAATCAACAAATACTCGCCACGGGATGCCGTCGCACAATACTCAGGATATGAGAATTTATGTTCATACTTCGGTCGGTGGAGCTTAGTGCCCCAGGGGAGTAACCAAGTTTCCGTCATTCGCTTTCATTTCCCCAACAAAAGCAAGCACTATTTACTACGCCGCCCGCCTAAATTACTGCTCCCATAACATCCGTGCCCGGCGTGCGTCGTTTCCGACGACCCTTATCCGACGTGTCGCTAGGGCTCAAAGTAGCGCTGTGCGTCAGCCATAGAGCGCCCTTATCGAACGCCGTCGGTAGCGTCGCGTCGTTGCGTTGTCTCCGGGCGGATGGAGCTGTGAAATGGCCCCGGGGCGGGGGAGGGCTGCCGCCGGGAGCACCCGGGGAGCACCCGGGGAGCGCCTGCGGTCTTAGTTCGTTTCGAATTTCCCCCGAGTGCCAGCGGAAGGCGGCAGAGGCGTCGGAGACCGGCGGTGACCCTTTGTTGACACAGAGGGACCGCCGGGCTGGTGAGAGCCACCTCTTTCCCTGCCACATCACCATAACAGAGCCCAGGCCACCTGTTGACCGAGCTGGCCGCCACGTATGAGCCTATCGGCCCGGTGTGACCGGGTTTATGGGGTATACGGTCATGTAAGGACTATGGAATGTGGTATGCCTCAGTCACTGGAATGTCTCAGGATAAGATTCCATGGGATGACGGTGTTGTTATGAGGTCGACAAGCACTGAGCACAAAATAATACCCAGAAGGCGTGGTTAACACGCGCACCGACGGGGGTCTGCGCCAACTCCGTACCGACGGGGGGGGGCGGATGACCGCCCCCCCCCCTGAGATCTCGAGAACGAAGCAAGATAGCGACAAGCGGTAGACGGCAAGGGATACGCACGAACAAGTTCTACAATTTTTACTAAGGTCATTTTCAGGTCAGGTCAAAGATGACGTCACAGGGGTCAAAAAAGTCAAAATGGCGGCGCTAGGTATGGAGAGTTTTTCTCAAAAACTTTCGAACTAGTCAATATAGAAACAAACTAAGGGCATCATCGTGATCCTCTTGTCAATCCGCATCGAATGATATATATGTTGACCTCGAAAGGTCAAGGTCAAAGGTTGACCTCAGCTCACGTGACCTCGAGGTCATCATGTATATCTTTCGATGCGCCTTGACGAGCTGAACACAATGAGACCATCCGCGCGGCTGTATCTTGTTCCTGTACGGAGTTATTGTCAAAAAAACCGCTGGTGACCTTTGATGACGTCACATGACCTTACAGCTGCCCAACAGCAAAACAGACCTCAAGGTAGTGAAGGTTGATCGTATATGAGGTCATGTGTGGTTTATGGAGCCATTCCGACCCGTTTTAGTGGTAAAAACAGGGAGTTGATTTTTCCCCCATTGACTTATAATGGGGAGGTCGAGAAATTGACCTGACCTTAGGTCATGGATATCAAAATTCCGAGATATACATTTTATAGATACTGTTACCCTTATCAATCGCTGAAAGTTTCAAAGGCCTCCGACATCTACTGTAGCTCTGGCACGGTGACAAAGTTGCAAAAAAGTGACTTGAGGTTGGGTCATTCAAAGGTACCTGGTGACCTGACCTTGAAAGTTAAGAGGTTCAAACTTGCACACCATGTGTAAAATTGATGAGAGAATAGTCGTACCAAATTTCGCGGCGCTACGCGCCGCGGTTTTCCCGCTATTTGCGAAAAACCTCAGGGGGGCGGATATCCGCCCCCCCGTCGGTGCGCGTGTTAAAATGATTCACAAGCAACGGGATATGTAGACGACGTCATTCAACAATCAACTGTCTCCGTTCTGTGTGCTTATAAGTGCAATATAGTGCAATTTGGCAGCTGCAAACAATAGTGCACTGCTACTTAACCTGCCCTGCAACCTGTTGGCATGTAGATCAATACAGTTTCAATTTAGCATGTTGGTAATATGCATGGCATGCATAGCACGTACATAACTCAATTGAGCCTTGACCTGTTTCGTTAAAAGTTGGCGATTCTACCAAACATGGCAGGAACACATGTCATCAATTGGAAGCTATTCAGAGAGAACATTGTTTTTGTCATGTCTGCGTTTTTATGCATCTCAGGTGTGGGGGGCTGAGGGGCAATGCGTCAGGCGAAGTTCA